AGATTAGAACAGAAATAAATAAAATCAAGAAGAATAAAATAGAAAGTATCAATTACAGCAAGAATTGGTTCTTCAAGAAAATAAACAAAATAGATAAACTCCTAGCCAGACTTAGCAAAAAAGAAAAGAAAGTCTACACACATAAACAGAATCAGAAATGAGAAAGGAAAAATCACTACAGATACCACAGAAATACAAAGAATTATTAGAGAATACTATGAAAAATTATATACCAACAAACTGGATAACCTAGAAGAAATGGATAACTTTCTAGAAAAATACAACCTTCCAAGGCTGACCCAGAAAGAAACAGAAAATATAAACAGACCAATTACCAGCAAAGAAATTGAATTGGTAATCAAAAAATTACCTAAGAACAAAACACCTGGACCAGATGCTCCACCACTGAATTTATCAAACATTTAGTAAAGACCTAATACCCATCCTCCTTAAAGTTTTCCAAAGAGTAAAAGAGGGAATACTTCCAAACTCATTCTCTGAGGCCAGCATCACTCTAATTCCAAAACCAGGAATTCCAGACACCATAAAAAAAGAAAATTACAGACCAATATCCCTGATGAACACAGATGCAAAAATACTCAAGAAAATATTAGCAAACCGAATTCAAAAATACATCAAAAAGATCATCTATCATGATCAAGTAGGATTTATTCCAGGGATGCAAGGATGGTACAACATTTGAAAATCTATCAAGATCATCCACCACATCAACAAAAAGAAGGACAAAAACCACATGATCATCTCCATAGATGCTAAAAAAGTATTTGACAAAATTCAGCATCCATTCATAATAAAAACTCTCAACAAAATGAGTATAGAGAGCAAGTACCTCAATGTAATAAAGGCCATATATGACAAACCCACAGCCAACATTATACTTAACAGTGAGAAGCTGAAAGCTTTTCCTTTAAGACTGGGAACAACACAAGGATGCCCACTCTCCCCACTTTTATTCAACATAGTACTGGAGGTCCTAGCCATGGCAATCAGACAACACAAAGAAATAAAAGGCATCCAGACTGGCAAGGAAGAAGTTAAACTGTCCCTCTTTGCAGATAACATGATATTGTACATAAAAAACCCTAAAGAATCTACTCCAAAACTACTAGATCTAATGTCTGAATTCAGCAAAGTTGCGGGATACAAAATTAATACACAGAAATCTGTGGCATTCCTATACACTAACAATGAACTAGCAGAGAGAGAAATCAGGAAAACAATTCCATTCACAATTCCATCAAAAAGAATAAAATACCTAGAAATAAACCTAACCAAGGAAGTGAAAGACCTTTACTCTGAAAACTACAAGACACTCATGAGAGAAATTAAAGAAGATACCAGTAAATGGAAACACATCCCATGCTCATGGATTGGAAGACTTAATATTGTCAAAATGGCCATCCTGCCCAGAGCAATCTACAGATTCAATGCCATTCCTATCAATATACCAACAGCATTCTTCAATGAACTAGAGCAAATTGTTCTAAAATTCATATGGAACCACAAAAGACCCTGAATTATCAAAGCAATCCTGAGAAGGAAGAATAAAGCTGGGGGAATTATGCTCCCCAACTTCAAGCTCTACTACAAAGCCACAGTAATCAAGACAATTTGGTACTGGCACAAGAACAGAACCATAGACAAATGGAACAGACTAGAGAGCCCTGATATAAACCCAACCATATATGGTCAATTAATATACAATAAAGGAGCCATGGACATACAATGGAGAAATGACAGCCTCTTCAACAATTGGTGTTGGCAAAACTGGGCAGCTACATTCAAGAGAATGAAACTGGATTATTGTTTAACCCTATACACAAAAGTAAACTCGAAATGGATCAAAGACCTTAATGTAAATCATGAAACCATAAAACTCTTAGAAGACAACATAGGCAAACATCTCCTGAATAAAAGTATGAGAAACTTCTTCCTGAACACATCTTGAGCAAGGGAAACAAAAGCATAAATGAACACATGGGATTGCATCAAACTAAAAAGTTTCTGTATGGCAAAGAACACCATCAACAGAACAAAAAGGTATCCTACAGTATGGGAGAATATATTTGTATGTGGCATATCTGACAAGGGGTTAACATCCAAAATATATGAAAAGCTCACATGCCTCAACTCCGAAAAAGCAAATAACCTGATTAAAAAATGGGTAGAGGGTATGAAGAGACAGTTCTCCAAAGAAGAAATTCAGATGGCCAACAGACACATGAAAAGATGCTCCACATCACTAATCATCAGGGAAATGCAAATTAAAACCCCAGTGAGATATCACCTCACACCAGTAAGGATGGCCAGCATCGAAAAAACTAAGAACAACAAATGCTGGCGAGGATGCGGAGAAAGGGGAACCCTCCTACACTGCTGGTGGGAATGTAAGCTAGTTCAACCATTGTGGAAAGCAATATGGAGGTTCCTCAATAAACTAGAAATACCATTTGACCCCAGAATCCCACTCCTTGGAATTTACCCAAAGAATACAACTTCTCAGACTCAAAAAGACATATGCAGCCCTATGTTTATTGCAGCAGTATTTACAATAGCCAAGGTATGAAAGCAACCTAAGTGTCCATCAGTAGATGAATGGATAAAGAAGAGGTGGTACATATACACAATGGAATGCTATTCAGCCGTAAGAAAGAAACAAATCCTACTATTTGCAACAACATGGATGGAGCTGGAAGATATTATGCTTAGTGAAATAAGCCAGGCGGAGAAAGACAAGTGCCAAATGATTTCCCTCATTTGTGGAGTATAACAATGAAGCAAAACTGAAGGAACAAAATAGAAGCAGACTCACAGATTCCAATAATGAACTAGTGGTTACCAAAGGGGAGAGTGTGCGAGTCGGGGTTGGGAGGGAGGGAGAAGGGGATTGAGGGGTATTATGTTTAGTACACATGGTGTGGGAGGTTACAGGGAAAACAGTGTAGCACAGAGAAGGTTAACAGTGAATCTGTGGCATCTTACTATACTGATGGACAGTGACTGCATTGGGGTATGTATGTGTGGGTACTTGATAATATGGGTAAATGTAGTAACCACATTGTTTTTTCATGTGAAACCTTCATAAGAGTGTATATCAATAATACCTTAATAAAAAATTTTAAAAAATGATTAAAGATTAGCTATGTAAGACTGACTATATGGAACATTACAGAAAAAAATATTACCTTTATATTGCCTAATTTATTCAGATTTGCTTACTTAGGTTAATAAATGTCCTCATAATTATTTTTCTTTAATTTTATGACAAAGCATGTTAATCACAACATCTTTAGGTTTAAAAATTACATAACTTTCATATAGTTTGCCACTGGACTCTCCTAGAAATTTTTAGTTTATCTATATGATTTATGTCAAATATAAATCAAACATCCCTCACAATAATTCAAAAAGGTAGCTCCTATTATCCATGCTTAACTAACTATACAAAGAAACGCAGATTCAGAGGCTCAGTAAAAAAGCTTGAAGTTGTACAATAAATCTAAATCTTGACATTTGAGTTTTACTGTATCTGACTGTTGCCTCAGTTTGTGTTAACACCTCCTCCCATGGATTTGCCACTGCTCAGCACTCCTACCTCATAAGATGCTCCATCATGAGCTTTAGATATGGCAGACTCAGGTATCTGTGGGACATACAGAAGCTAAGAGGATACAAAGTCTGAAACTTAGGCTGTGCCCTGCTTGAAGGTATAGATTGATGTCTAGGTCATTGTTAGAGGGTGATTAGCCTGTGAGAGGGTCCGATCACCCAGATAGTGGGGAGTGGGTAGGGTGGTGATCAAGGCTGGAATTTTTAAATACCAGCATGGAAGTAATGGGAGAGGGGGAAAGAGTCCTTATCTCCAGTCAGAGAAGGACTGGTGAGAGAGATTCTAGAGCTAAGAGAGTGCAGGGTCTCAGGGGTTTAAGAGGATCCAGCACAGAGCAGAAATCCAGGAAGACTGGCCCTGAGTCTGTCTATTGGTGTCAAGGAAGGGCTTATTGGAGACTCGAATAAGTGGAGTTTTATTAGTGTTTTGGAGAACTGAAGCTAGATCATGACAAATTTGGATCTCAGAAAGCAGAGGCAAATGTGCCATCCAAATGTGCCTGTGGTTGCATGTGGCTGTTGAGTGCTTAACAGCAGCTAGGACAGACTGAAGTATGCTAATCATGAGTAATACACACAGAATTTCAAAGAATGAAAAAGAGATTATGTAAAACATGTCACTGATAATTGTTTATATTGATTGTATATTGAAATGATAATATCTGGAATATATTGGATAATTTAACATACATGACTAAAATGAATTTTTACATGTTTCTTTTTATGATTTTTATTGTGGCTTCCAGAAATTTTTTAGTAATATCTATGGTTACATTTGTGGCTTACATTATATTTCTACTGGGCAGCACTCGATGTGCACTATTCTTTTAAGAAGGGTCACTTAAGAAAAGAAGACAGCAGGCAGATAGCTTCTAGATGGAAATACAACATCAAAGCAAAAGACTGCTAAACTTGCCTGTGGCCCCCGGAAAAGGGAGAGGTCCAAGGGAGGATGAGAGAGCATTTGACTAATGGAGTGTGATTCCCTAAGAATCACTTGGGGAGTCATATTTGCAGGTGGAGAGATGGGATTGATCCAGAAGAAGACATCTCATCCCCTTAACTATGACATAAGGAGGTGAGGAAAGATGTAAATTTAGATAAATATGTAGATGGGAATAGAGACAGGAAGTTGAAGGCTTATGGAGTGTAAAAGATATTCAGGTTTAACAGATTCCATAGATGAAACTAGATTTGTGTGACCTACAAAGTTTTGACTGAATTATGATTTTATGTACTTTGGATTATAGATCTTTTTTTGTCACGAGGAGCTTTCTATTGTATAAGAATTTGTTAAGATACTTAATGATGAAGACTCATACTTGATATAAAAATGAAGTGCTATTACTGACATGTTATGTTACTTATAGGAGAGTTTGATACTGTACAGAGCCCCTCCACACCCATCAAAGACCTTGATGAGAGAACATGTAGGAGCTCGGGGTCAAAGTCCCGAGGAAGAGGCCGGAAAAACAATCCCTCCCCACCTCCGGACAGTGACCTGGAGGTATGCTAACTTATCCTTAAAGAGTGTAGTATGATGTTTTATTTCGTTGAATGATTTTCTCTACTTTACAGTTCCATAAAGTTTCAAACTTCAAAAAAAAAAGGAACACCATGAAATGAGTGGACCTACTTTGCAGTAGGCATTTCACAGCTCTGAAGACTGGAATTTCATTCATTATAATGGCAAAATTAAAAGCAGTAACAACTTAAAAACAATAGTGCTTTACAAAATTTAGTCCTGAGATAATCACATCTTTTGATCCAAATTAGCACACATTTTTAAAAAGACACTGTTTGCGGGATAATTTTTTCTGAGACACATTCTATTTGGTAGTACTAAAGTAATGAAAGATGTTAATGTGGGTCAATAAATTTTAAAAGGTAAAATTAATCTACATGGAAATGAAAAGTCATCTTCTGAAAGTACGAAAAATTCCAAACATTTGATACATATGTTAAAATGTTTATATCTGTAAAAATTATCATGTGTCATTTTTTCCAAGTGAGAGCTCTTTTGAGATATATCCAAACTAAGCAGGTTGATTTTTATTATAAAACATTAGGAGAAACTACTTTTAACTATAATATGGTACTTTAATTATTAGAAGTATACTTCAATTAAGAAAATAAATTAAATTTTCAAATTTAGTAAAGTCAAGTGATAGTCACTGTTCCTCTTCATAAGAGATCATCTCCTATATCTGAACAGCAGTAGCAGATTCAAATGCCTTCAAGAACCCAGCAGGTAATATAAATGACTTAAGTGGGCTTGGGAGCCTGCAGACCCTGGGAAGCAGGGAGCATCAGCCCAGTCTGAAGGAGCCCGCCATCACCGCCATGGGAAATGTCATCCACCATTGCTGCAACTTTGTTTCTCCCCTGCAGTCAGGACCCTGAAGAAGATTGTGTGAAATCTCCTAATCTTGAAATGTTGATCAATAATTTGAAATCTTTCAAGATACTGTGCAGGCCAAACAACCCATCTGATGACCTCATCTGACCCAAGTGTCCATACCTCACAATTTCTATGAAGGGATTACTCGTCAATTCTTTTAAAATAGTTTCAAAATTTTAATGCTTTTCAGGAGTTGCAAAATTTCAAGAATCCATGAGGCATGAAACTTTGAAATAGCATTCCAGGCACACTCTGTCGTAAAGTCCAGGTGTGCCATTTGGGGTATTAACTGCAAATAAATTATTTGGATGAATTCAATTTCATTAGAACATCTGATTTTTAAGCTTTTTATTACTTATATTACTCTTGTTCCTCAGGTTTGATAGGAGTTAGAGCTGGCAAGTTTGGAAAAAATTAATGGAGTAGCATAGTTTTTTTTTTAATGGTATCTTAATTATATCCAACAGCAAAGTGAGATATTTTCTACTTATAAAGAGATATCTGTCTCCTGAGGACTTGATAATTCATTGATATTTATCTTTTCCTTCAGCGTGTATTTGTCTGGGATTTGGATGAAACCATCATTGTTTTTCACTCACTGCTCACAGGGTCTTATGCCCAGAAGTATGGCAAGGTAAGGAAGGAATCAAGAAGTTTTGCCCCAAGACACCTGGTTAAAATTTTATTTTGTTCAAAAATCAAGAACCATTTAAATACATTTAAGTGTTTTTATTGCAGTATGTCAGATTTGCTCTTAATTATTTCCAGTGGTTCATTTTTCTTTAATGTGAGCTGGCAAATTTTACAAAACTAGTTAGAAATTGGATTCATTTTTCTTTCTTCATAATGATCCTGAGTTTTCTACATCAAAACCAAGCTTATTGCTCTGACATAATTATTTTTGACAACTTTTTTTGCAAATTGAAATGGACTTTAAATACCATGAAATCATATATTACCCTCTAATAAAGGAACTTTAAGAAATTGTTTGAATTAATTTGTTGCACCAGATGTTGCTATAGAATGCCATTTGAAATGAAGAAATAATCTTTTGCCTGACAGATCCTTGGGATTTATGAGTAAAAGTATTAGTAAATATCCAAACAGCAACTGGGGATAACTCCCTCACATGCACAAATTCAAAGACAGATGGTCTCATTAATCCTCCTCCTTTCCTCTTGCCATTGTTTTCATAGTTAGCTAGATTCTTCCACACCTGTGTGAGGGCTCATTCAAGAGTGAAGCAACTGCAACAGGCTCTTTAGCTGCAAACACAGGCCATTACTGTGTGAACACAGTATGTAAGTGACATTCCTAAAAGGACTGAGGACAGTTAGTGAAGTCCTGTATAGGCAGTTATGTGAGTTCTCCTTTGGAGAAGTTGGAATGATCCTATCTTGTCTTTACACCTGTGTGAGGGCTCATTCAAGAGTGAAGCAACTGCAACAGGCTCTTTAGCTGCAAACACAGGCCATTACTGTGTGAACACAGTATGTAAGTGACATTCCTAAAAGGACTGAGGACAGTTAGTGAAGTCCTGTATAGGCAGTTATGTGAGTTCTCCTTTGGAGAAGTTGGAATGATCCTATCTTGTCTTTTACTATTGGGATATTTTTGTATCAGGAGTTAAAATATAAAAAGTGTTCAGTGATAGAATCTCACAGACAGTTCTCAGTACCTCTTGTGGAGCAGAACAGGCCAAGAATCAGATGCACTATTGGAAGGGTGAGGGGAAGATGAACTTGCATTTACAGAACACCTGCCATGTGGTAGGACCTGCGTTTGGCATTTCACAGGCAGTAGGGATGATGGTTAAGGACAAGAACCTTTGAGTCAGAACAAACCTAACTTTGAAAACCCAGTGCTGAGGCTCACATCTTTCTGACCTTGGGGAAATCACTTAATTCCTCATTCTCAATATCTGTAAAATGGGAATAATTCTATCTATAGTGAATAAAAATTAAAGAAATAATATGTTCAAGGGACTTAGCAGAGCACTTGGTGTAAATTAACACACACAAAAATTGTGACTGTTATCAGCCACTTTCATAAATGTTATCCCACTGAATTCTCATAATGACTCTGTTGTAACTCACTGTGATTCATGTTCTATGGATGAGGCAACCTGGGTTATGAAGGTTCAAGAAACTTGACCAAGGGTAAATGTTGGCACATATATTAGAAACTAGATCAGTCACATAACAAGTCCTTATTCTTTATACTATTCTGCTACTGGAAGGCAGCCTGTTGAACTGAACAGGTTGGATAATGTTTTATCAAGGCAATTTAAGAAAATTAAAGTAATCATGTTTTTTGGGTATATTTTCTTCTAATCAAAATGAAAAGACCATTATTGAATTCTGTGAAAAATTACTTAGATGACATTATTTATTGAATTACTATTGACAACTTTCCTAAAAGTCATTTGATCATTGACATTTTTCTTATTGTCAGTCAGGAAATGGCATTGCCTTTTAGCTAGTAAGACGTTACTATTTTGACATATTAAGAAGCAGCTAAATAAGAGATGCCATATCAGCCTCATCTTGTGAAGCTGGGGATCACATGCACTCAGGGGTCATTTGAAGGCCAGAGAGGGCACTGGGTCGTTTCAAGTTCATCACAAACCATAGGTGAAAATGGTGAATGAGAGCTCCACAGACACTCTACTCATCTACCAAATATTTGCTTAACACAAGACAGACATGCCTCCTGTTCTCACGGAGCTTACAGGCCAACAAGATCACTTCAGGTAGTGGTAATTGCTGTGAAGACAAAGAAACTGGGTGATCTCTGGAGTGACTAGGGATGTGGCTCTGGAGCAGACATTCATACTGAGGCCTGAGTCACAGGAAGGTAGCTGTGCAGGTTACGGACAAGGGTCCGAGAGTGGGGAGGAACCATGCACGCAGAGGGCACAGGCCCGGAGGCAGGAATAACCACCCAGTGATTCAGGAGTATGAAGAACCGTGCCTGGAAGGTTGTAAACAAAAGAGAGGATAACACAAGGTAAGAACAGAGAGGTAGGCAGGGGGCCACACCAGATAGGATATCTACGATAAGGCAATTGAAAATTATCCTATCTGCAGTGGGAGCTCTTGGAGGGTTTAGGCTGTATTGGGACATGATGGTTTAAAATTGGTTGTATGGGCAGAATGGAGTTTAGAGAAACAAGGGTGGACATAAGTAGATCTTTTAGGAGGCTGCCTTACAATAAGAAGTGGCAGTGGGTTAGACTCTAACAGTGCTTCTCAGACTTCAGTGGAGGTCACAAAAACTTGCAGGGATGGTTAAACAAGATGGCTAAGTCCCACCCCCAGAGTATATGATTCTGTAGGTCTGGGGTTGAGCTTGAGATTTTGCATTTGCAAAGTCTCCCAATAAAGCTGGTGGACCTTGCTTTTAAGAAGCACTGGAACAGAGCATTTCCTCAACTTTTTTTCTCCAGAAAATGAGTTCTGGGACATGTTAATTGATAGTCTTTGTGGAAAGGCCTGTAGCCAATTAAATTTGGGAAATACTTGCGTTTAATGTTCATTCATTGTACATTATCATATTAAAGGTCCTGAGATGTTTCACAGTTAAGAATCCATTGTAGCCATGTTTATTTCCTCAGTTCTTTAGTGTCTTCAGTAATGACCTTGAAGACAGACTAAAACAAGGTCATTTTGATAATCAGTTTACAATTTAGAAGGACTTTGAATTGCTAATAGCAAAAGTCACCAGGGCCATTATTTTGCAAGAAAAAAAATACTTTTATACTACTTAAAGGTTGTCTAAGCTTGAAATTGTTCATGCCTTCAGTTTTTGTTCTTATTTCTTAGATCAATCTTGTTTTCACAATGTGCATTTTTAGAGCATAACCTTTTTTTGTAACTTAATTTTTCAGTTCTTTTAGCCAAGAATCCTTTATGCACATACTATGCCACACTGAGCATCTTTATATAAAACATACAAGAGCAGGTCTGCTCTGGATGAAATGGAGAGGGTAGGGGACTAGAGATAACCCATTTCCCACTCCCCTCTTTCATTGTTCTCAGTCACTCCAGAAGGGTTTCCTGAGTCCCGGGGGGTTGCTCAGAACACAGTCGGGAAGGCAGTAATCCAGCGGAAGCAACACCAAGCTAGGAGTTTGGAGAACGTCCTGTGCCTGGATGTTACTTAGACAGATCATTTAACCTCTGAGCCTGTTTCCTCATCTGAGAATGGTTATAATCTACTTCCTTCCTGGCATTACTGGATGGATTAAATGAGATAATATAAATACATAAATCTAGGACTCAGCTCTGAAAACCATCATCTATATCCCAGGCCAGGGAAACTTAAGTAAAACTACACATTATTTCCCCCGAAAGAGAAGTGACTAAAGGTAAATATTTCCAGCCCCACAGAAAAACAATGTTTGCACAAAGTGGTACTGCCATGGCTGGAAATACTGTGAGCTGGAAGCTGGAAATATAAGCCCCAGAAGATGTAAAATCCTGTCCTGACAGATCACACCTACCTATCTAACTGTCTCTCTCTTCTCCACCCCCACCCCCATAAAAAAATAATAAATACCATTTTTGAGCTCTTGCTGTGTGCCTGGCACTTTGCTGAGTGTTCTGTTAAGTACATTATCTCTTCATCCTGTGTGATTGATACCATGTCACACAGCCCGAAAGTGGCATGGCCAACCAGAGCCCACATCTCCTTGACATGCTCTTTAATCTCTTAATACTCATTTGGTCTCATATTTTTTCTCCCACCACCTTTAAAAATGAAGTTCATGGCACATAATAATTTAGGAATATCATTTTAATCATAAATTATCCTATGTAACTAACTTTTGCATTTTAATTTAAAAAAACTTTTGGGAAGTCCTACTTCCATTTTTAAATAAATAATATTGTGACTTTTCCAAGGGTCTTCCTGATATGTTATCACTTTTCGACTCTGTTCAGTTGTCAACACAGCATGCTCTTTCCTCAAGCAGAACTATTCCTGGATATTTACTATGATGGCAAATGAAGGATGTCGGTATTTGAGTTCTGCTGCTTACAGAATGGATGATGGGCTCTGCAGTTGAGCACCAGTTGGCACTCAGCACCGCAAAACTCTAAAATTAGAGTTTGTAAAGGTGCCAGGACATAGCCCAGGAATCATTCATCATCTGTTAAGAGTTTATGAAGATTACTCCCATTCCCTGATTGATTGTATATATTATTTTGCCTGATCTCTTGCAGTGATTTCTCTTTTTGGAGGGAGGGGTGAAGGAAGCTAAATAAATTGTGCTTTAGGGATTTGACTTATTTTGCAGCACTGATGTGTCCCTGTGCTATGAAGCCATGATTCTCTAAAATTATTCTAGAGTGAGAATGCAAAGGAAGTATCCCAAGTCAGAGAAGACTGAAGAAAAAAAATGAAGTTATCTTGCATTATGAAACTGAGGTTTCAGCTCCCCAAACTACTTGCTCATTTTAGACAACATTGAAGAGCAGCCCTGGGGAAATAGGATGTTCATCAAGATAATCAGTTGGTTACTTTTATATTAAACAATCTATACACTTAGATAGAAAGACTTTTGAAATAGTACTAGCTAGATTTTAAATTATAGGATAGTCATGAAATGCTGACTTATGTGCATGTCAACCA